AGAAACCCATAAGCCAGAACATGAAGTTAAGTCTGAACTAAGGCATGAGAGAAGCACACAGATGTTCTGAATACATGAAAAACACATGCTGTTGCTGGGCACCAGTGGCTAAAGACTCTAATCCTAGCTACTCAGGAGGCAGAGGTTAGGAGGACCATGACTCAAAGCCAGCCTGGGCAAAAAGTTCACAAGACCCTTTCTCGAAATAATCCATCACATAAAAGGGCTGACAGAGTGGCTCAAGGTATAGGCTCTGAGTTCAATCCCCAGTACCACACACACAAAAAAAAAACCCAAAAAAACCATATGAGGTCAATTTTTATAACATGGAAATGTCAAGACTTAATGTTTATGTTTTATCTAAGGAGTTTTTAAGAATAAATATGAAGAACATAGTAAGAATTCAATTGCAGTTAACTGAATAAATGATTATACTACCATATATCTGTACCATTTAGGTTTACATGTATATACATACTGCACTTTTAATAAAGTACAATGCAATACTATTTAGTGACAAAGTATGAAAATTTGGACTCATTTTTAAAAATCAGCTATTAAATTTGTGACAAGAAATATAAACTTGTGAATGACATCAAAATAGAGAATTTATATAAGACACTATTTATATCAGCATTATAAGTTATGGAAACAGTCAAGATGTTCCACCACTGATGAATGGGTTTAAAAAAATGTGGTATTTATATACAATGAAATTTTATTTTGCCACAAAGAAGAATAAAATTTTCTTGTTTGCGGTAAATGGACAGAACTGGAGAAAATTATCTTAAGTGATGTTAGCCAGGCTCAGAAGGCCAAAGCTGTATGTTTTCTCTCATTATGTGGCATAAAGACCAAATACAAATAGAGCAAACAATGAAAAACAGGTCAGGGAGAGGGTAAAAGAAGGAAGTTAAGAAGGTGAATATGCTTGATGTACTCTCTACCCAAAAATGAATATAGAACTTTTAAATCAGTTAAAACAACCAGAAGAAAGGGACTGAGGTAGAAAGGAGAAAAATAGAGGAGATGAAGCAAATCAGTCTATTATCCATATGAACATGGATGTGCCTTAAGGAAAAATGTCATTTTTTCTTCTTCTTTTGGGTGGAACAGGTCCTGCCTGAGAGGGATGGTACTGGTAAGAGAGGTAGCAGGTGGGGAAATAGTGAAGGAGCATGCATATGGTGCAAATATTGTATACACATGTATACAAATGGAAAATGAAACCTGTTAAAACTATTCCAGGAAGGGGAGTAGGGAGGAATGAAGGAGAATGGTGGATGGGGTGAATTCAGGTATGATATATTGTAAGAAATTTTGTAAATGCTACAACATACCCTCACCCAGCACAATAAAATTTTAAAAAAGCAATGCTGGAGGTATCACAATATCCGACTTCAAACTATATTACAAAGCAATAGCAATTAAAAACAGCATGGTACTGGCACAAAAACAGACGTGAAGACCAGTGGAAAAGAATAGAGGACCTAGATATGAAGTCCTCTTATCTTTGACAAAGGTGCTAAAAATATATGATGGAGAAAAGACAGCCAAATGTTGCTGGGAAAAGTGGTTGCCCATCTGCAAGAAACTGAAACTAGATCCATGTCTATCACCCTGTACTAGTATCAACTCAAAATGGATCAAGGACCTAAATATCAGACCTGAAACTCTGAAGTTACTACAGGAAGGAGCAGGAAACACTCTGGAACTAATAAGTATAGGCAAAGACTTCCTCAATACAACCCCAGCAGCCCAGCAACTGGCAGAAAGGATGGACAAATGGGACTTCATAAAATTAAAAAGTTTCTGCACAACAAAAGAAATGGTCTCTAAACTGAAGAGACCACCCATAGAGTGGGAGAAAATATTTGCCAGCTACACATCAGACAAAGGACTGATAACCAGAATATACAGGGAATTTAAGAAACTAAACTCTCCTAAAATCAATGAACCAATTAAAAAATGGGCAACTGAACTTAATAGAACCTTCTCAAAAGAAAAATTCAAATGGCTAAAAACACATGAAAAAATGCTCACCATCTCTAGCCATAAAGGAAATGCAAATCAAAACCACACTAAGATTCCACCTCACCCCTGTTAGAATAGCCATCATCAAAAACACCACCAACAACATGTGTTGGCGAGGATGTGGGGAAAAAGGAACCCTAATCCACTGCTAGTGGGAATGCAAGCTGGTACAACCACTCAGAAAAAAAGTTTGGAGACTCCTTAAAAAATCTAAACATAGACCTGCCATATGATCCAGCAATCCCACTCCTGGGGATATACCCATAGAAATACAACACAGATTACTTCAGAGGCACCTGCACATCCATGTTTTTATTGCAGCGCTATTCACAATAGCCACGTTATGGAAACAACCAAGATGCCCCACTATTGATGAATGGATCAAGAAAATGTAGTGCTTGTACACAATGGAATTTTACTCAGTTATGCAGAAGAATGAAAACTTATCATTCTCAAAAAAATGGATAGAATTGGAGAACATCATTCAGAGTGAGGTTAGCCAGGCTCAGAAGACCAAAAATCGTATGTTCTCCCTCATATGTGGACTTTAGATCTAGGGCAAAAGCAGCAATGTGGTTGGACTTGGATCACATGATAAGGGGAGAGCACATTTGTGTGATACAGAAATAGGTAGAAAACCCAAAACATGAAAGCGTTTGATGTCCCCACTCCAGAGGAACTAATATAGAAACCTTAAAGCAACAGAGGTTATCATGAGAAGGGGATCAGTAACCAGGGTAAAGATCAGTTAGAGATGAATCAACATGGGTCATAACACATGTACACGAAAGCAATGCTAGGAATATTTCTGTATCGCTATCCTCAACTCAACTAGCAAAAATGCTTTGTCTTCCTTATTAGGCTTGTCTCTTTTCTTCAACAAAACTAGTGATAAAGGCAGAACAGGACCTGCCTGGAACTGAGGGTGGAAGGGGGGAGAGGGTGGGGGGAGGAGGGCAAGGGGGGAGAAATGACCCAAACAATGTATGCACTGTGAATAAAAGAATTTAAAAAATAAATTAAAATTAAATTAAAAAATTTGTTAATATTATATTAATATGTACTTTTCTATAATATAAAATAAACTATCTCAAAATAAATTCTAAAGAAAAAAGTATCTGATTCTAATGTAACATCTGGATCTCAAGCTGATGGTAAAATGAAAACGAAATTAACATATATTATAATAGATAAAAATATGTATTATATAAATTTAGCATATGGCAGCTTCTAAGTATACATTCTTTTTGCATTCTCCAAAGAATCCAAAAATGATTTCAGGATACCAAAGTACTAATGCACAAGTGTTATACTAAAGCACTTAGCAGCTAAATTCACTGAAAAAGTTTAGGTTACTAGTCCATATATAGTCAAATTACAACTGTATGTACTTTTAAAAAACATTTTAAGTTTGCTTTCAATCACAAAATAACTCCATTCTCTTAGGAGAAACGTTCTCTCTCTGCTTCTCATCCAAGAGAAAAATTTATGTAGCTCTTTGTTTTGAACCAAACCATTTTAAATGATCCTTCTCTTGTATAAGGACTATAAATCAGATTAAACACCTACTCTAGAATCCTAAGAAACAACAAAAGGCAAATAAAAAGGAACAACTAAAGTCAAGCAAGACATACAGAGTAAATCACGACAGTATAATTTATCATTTTCAACATGCCATCCATGGAATCCTGGTTTTCTATGATTTCATAGAAAAAAAGTATCTGCAACATTCTTTTTCTCCTTCAGAATGAACTGACTCAAGATTCCAAATGAATACAAGTTGTTTTGTTCTGGGCTACTGTAGGGAATATAAACAGTATGCTTATTTGTGTGGCAGGACTATTTATATTTAGGATTATTGTTCACATTTTTGCAAATATTTAAACTTGCTAAACATGCATAAATAAGAAGTCTGTTAAATCAGATTCACTTTCTTTGGCAGAATAAACACAAATACCATCATTACAATATGGATTCTGATTACAACCATTCAAAAATAACTTGATGTAATTATACATTTTTTAAGCAAAATCCTACAACTTATTACAATTTCATATATAATACTTATGTCAGCTTTCAAGTACCTGTATTTTAAGCTGAGTCCTTTATTTTCTCATCTTTTTACAGACTGTATAATTTTAATGCTAAGTTTTGTGGACAAATATAATACCTACTGACAAATCATTAGTTCAAAACAAAAAAGGATTTTAAAAAGTTCTCCCCTTCAGAAAACATTGATTAACTGTGTCGCTCAGGAGTAGGACAACCTGGCTAACTGGAATGCTATGCTTAAATATTGTTACTTGAATTCACTTTGTAAGTACTGCATCCCAGACTGATTCTAGCATCACGACTGAGCTATTACTCTCAACTGTACTTAATGGACAAACTCTGGAAATATAAGAGGTTCAGGCTGAATATGATGGGCAATGGCTTGAGGATATTCCTTGGAATTAATTATCACTTTCTTCACTCTCCTAAATCCAATGAAGAATGAACTGGATTCCAATAAACTGATGTTTTGATCTAACAGATAATTCCTATCAGTACTAAATTTTCAGGACCCTGTCTGCATGCACCTGTCATATACATGAACAAGATCAATAAATTTAGATCCATCAGGACTCAAATCTTTAAATATTCTAGGTCTTTGTACAAATGAATTGCTTAATGAATTGGAAGGAAAGGGAGATAAACAGAAGAGGATTAGGAGTTTATCAGTTTGCAATTAAATTTTGAGATGTAGTGCAATGAACCTAAAATTTATTCAAAATGATTCTCCACAGATAATCTTAAAGAGAGGGGCCAAATCAAATATAAATGAAATATAAAAAATAAATATAATAAGTATAAGTACTATATAAGTATAAAGTACTATATAAGTAATACAAATATTAAATATAAAGGCAAATTTTATATAAATTATATATAAAATAGGAACAGGAAAGTTTAAAGATTAGAATTTTGCACAATGACTTGTGATTAAAATGTAATTTAAGTCACCAGCTACTGTGTTTAAAGATTGTGCCAAAAATGGGCCCATTATGTATACAATATCATTTAAATGTGACAACTCTTCTGAAAAGTATTATCTGTATTTAACAGAGGAAGAAACTGAGGTTCAAAATGTAATTCTCAGTAAAAAGAGAACCAGAGTGTGGATTCACAGAGATCTGACTTCACAATCTCAAATACCTCTTTGCTAGCCACACAACTAAACACAATCCTCATTTCTATTTGTAGATTCCAAATTTGCAAATTTGACTACTGGCTAAAATTTATTTGTAATTCCAAAATCCACACTCACAGAACTTTTGCAGTCAATCAAGGACATGTGCACAGTAGTGAAGAAGGTCAATCACTGACATACACGTATGTTCCCAGCTGAGGTGAACAAGGTGACACTGTTCCTCATCTCAGCTCTCATACTGGAAACAAGTGTCCTTTTGCCGTCTATTCAGTGCCAGGTTTATGGTGATTTCACTATTTTCAACGGCCACAAGCACAGTGCTCAGAAGGGTAATTTGGCATTACTAAGCTCAAAGTAGGACATATGGAGACTTAGTAAAAAAATGTTTTACCTACGCTTTGTTCAGGACTGAGTTACAGTGCCATGAGTTCAATGTCAATCAATGAACAATACAAAGAAAATAAAACTAACACATACTTAAAACTAGGTTATGTATTCAATTGATGAATATGTTGTGACTGGAGGCTCACAGGAACCTAATCCTATCTTTCTGTTAGGATGATGGTCCACTGTCCCCTAATTCAATGTTTACAGTGACTTCAAAGGACATACTTAGGCCAAATAATGAAAACTGACTGGAAACTTCCTCATAAAATGTACATATTGATATTTTATAAAGAATTTCCTGTTCTCATTTCCTTCAAATATATGACACTACTATATTTATGCAGCCATCACTTTTTTTACTTAAAAAAACCTTTGTTGCCATTTTGTTTGATGGGCTGCAGCTACATGTGTTTGACTTTGCTCAGCAAATTAATCTTTCTTAAAAGCAATTTCCAGTGTGAAAGTGTCAGGTAATTAAATTTCATTTCTTATTATGGGAAGTAACAGATACTGCCTTTAAAGATGACTGTTTAGTGACATGATTTTAAAACTAGTTAGCTATATATGACATTAGCAAAAACAAAACAAAAACTTAGCATAGAAAATTATCAGCACAAACTGGGACTCTTATTGTTCTTGCCCAAATCAGAGATTTTATTGAAAAAAAAATTACACTACTTAAAAATTCAAATAAGGACAATTCAGGACTGAAAGAAAGAAAACCTGAAGAAGTCCACTGTCTTCAGCAAAATTTTGAATACAAAAACGTAGGCCAGGAAACACTTCATGGCCTAATGCACTAGGTTCCATGATAAACACACATATATAGTGAGTGTATCTTCACCAAGTGAAACTTAATCACCTTCTTACAATTTAGAGAGGGAAGGTAGCTTTTAGTAGGTTAAGCCATGTATCATCGATACTATGAAGCTACCCTATCAGTTTTAATAGCTTCTATAAAATACCACAGTAAGATTGCAATAAGCCTAGAAAATGGGCTACAAATCCCAGCTATGTTCAAGCAAGCAGTGAACCAAAAATAAAAATAGGTAAAATTGAACCAAGAACTAGATAGCATTCATCTGGATTCATTATTAGTAAGGCAAAGTTCATAGGCCAAGGTTTTAAAGTGACTTATTCAGAACTAAAAGACGATCATTATACAAAATAAAATAAAAGCATTTATGCAATTCAGAAAAAAAAACATGAGTTTTTACTGCAAAGACATAACACAAACAAGCTTACTTACAATGACTAAACACCACATCATTGTATCTTTAAATATCACTTCAAATATGCAAAGGTAAAGAAACTCAAAATTGCACTTTTTCATTTTTAATCTATCCAGTTGAGACAAGTAATCCAAAAGGAGATGAGGAGATGTCATACATTCCGGCTTACTGTATTTATTGAAATCTTTCAACTGCAATGACTTTAGGTCAAGGCGATGTCAACTTTAAGTTTCTTTTCCAATCATATTTAGTTATCCATTAAATCTGAGTTGACAATCCATACAATATAAAAATACACATATTAAATCACATTGACTTCATCAATTATTGGAACTTAATAAAAATATTAATCATTTAAATATAACCATTTTAAAGAACTCAAATGGCCTGAACTTAGTATAGTGCTTAAATTATACCAACAATAGAAATGTTAAATTCCCCCTGCTTGGTGAAAATGAGCTCATGCAAGTATTTCTGAAACTTAGTGACACATATGGTCTGCCATTCTGAGGATGGAAAACCAGCTCACACTTTTAGAAATGACAATATGATTCAGAGTCTCACAGTACTTGCTAAAATACTAGGTTTCACATGATTTCATTAAGCTCTAAACCGAAATAATAATTGTGCTGTATTTCAAGTACCAAATAGAACAGTTAAAGTGTAATAGTAAATGATTTTACTAGTGCAGACTAATTATCACTGTGGCTAGGTAAGAAAAAGGATGATTTCTGCAATACAATGAAAACTATACTATAAAATACAATTGGTTTGCAATACAGAGCAGATTATCCAAGTGGAAAGAAAACTGAACATACAAACTCTAGCAAAGATTTATCAACCTCACCTATTACTTTTCTTAGCCCTTGTTAAAATACCCTGAGTAAAATGCAAATATTTTAAATAATGCTGGTTATAGAAGGCTTCTCTAAAAGTTAACCATAAATGTTATCAATGCATCAGGTTTTTATTTACAACAGTCAGATATGTAAAACTTAATTCTTAACCAGTCACAATATAAACATTATGGAATACTTAGGTTAAAATCTGCACGTTTTCAATTTTCTATCTTTTGTTAGCATTTTGGCAAAGCAAGTAATACATAAATGGATTCAATGTAAAAAAAATCATAAAAGAGAAAAATATATAAAATTTACAGTAGTTTCTATCCACCCTGGGCCAACCTAGATCTCTAAAAAGCCTCCCCAATCAGGTTCACTTCTGACTAAAAGGAGAAATACCAGTCCTCCAGCAAAAACAGCCCCATCTTTGCATCAAAGAGGCTCTCACTTCAATGATATTCCTCCAGGGAAGAGGACAGGAGCCAGGTTCCCTCGAATGTCATTCCCCAGGTGTTCAAAACGCAACTAATTTATTAGCATTAGAAGATTTGGTTTATAGGGGAATCTCACTGGTCCAGTTTGTAGCCTACAAAAAAATGGATTATTTTTAAATATAACATTAGAATATAAATATAGGATGAGGATGTGGCTTTTTTTCCATAGAAATGGAAACATTTCCAAACATGACAATTCAATAAAAAAGCATGCCTACCATTGAAGTTGGAGTCCCTCCAGATTTTTTAATATTCTTTGAAGGCATTCCATGAAGGCGACTGAGTCTAGCTTGGAAACCTGGAAAACCAAAGCACTCAGTTTAGATGATACTGTGACCACTGAAGTAGAGAAGAACATCCTATCAACAGAAAATTAAGATATTGGTGCTGGAGGTGAATACCATGATTATTATTGGGAAAATTCTCATTTAACAGAACTAAAGCAATGCCTGAAAGGGTTCTACTGCATTACTTAATTACCTAGTTTAGTCCTTAGGTAATAATATCCAAGGCATTTCTTCCTGCCGATTCACATTCCTATCAACATTTTCATCATGAACTAGCAAGAAAAGCAAGTCGCTTTTCCTAATAAATTGAAGCCGTGATGAGCGGAGTAGCTGAATTAGTGGCCAACATATCTGTTTATTCTCCAATTTCCAATTCCATTCTCTTTCAATGAGTATTCCCAAGGCTGATCAAAGGCTCACTGTATACACCAGTTAGGAAGAACTACTGACCTCTTCTGCCCGGATGTGACATGAGGGGGAAAGAACCAGTTAAGATACTTTCAAAGACAGGGTCTGGGAAATCTTTGTCTAGCTCAGTAGGATCTTCCTTTTCCCACCAGGGGACGACTCCGGTGATACCACATGCTCCCCCTGATTCTTTTTCATAGAACCAGTCACTCTGCTCATCATCACCTGTGAAAATACAAGAAATTCCCCCCAAAATTTAGTTTTTTCATTCAGATATACAATTCAGGCTGTGAGATAATAAAAATATAAGACATCAATTAAATCTGAATTTCAGATAAAAAATTAGTATTAATATAAGTATGTACTTGCTTTAATGTTTTAGTGTAAGTATATCTAAATACTACACAGAACATAGAATGCTACAATATTATTTGTTATTTATCTGCAACTCACATTTAACTGGAGGTCCTGCACTTTATCTGGCAATCATGTATATAATCTATAAAGAAAACATTTTACTCTTTAACACACTTTTACTTTAAAAATGTTCTCTAATTTATGATAAACATGGCCATCAGCAAAACACAAAGTGCTGTATTTTAGAACCAATTTTAAATATGTGAAAAACTAACATATTTAAAGGACTGGCTAGTCCTTTGGCAAATACTGTAGGGAAACCTTTCTAAGCTACTATCCTTCCCACATTAAAAAACAAAATAACAAAAAGACCCTTAATCATCTACTGGGAATGAAAAAAGTATAAAACTACAGAATCTATTCTTTACCCCTGATAATGGTATAGAATTAACTTCATGACTTGTATAGAGTGGAAAAAGGGTAAAAATCACAGATTATAATGAAATGAAATTAATCTAATTAAGTTCAATAAGAAATAGTTTTGAAAAAGTTAACTTTAAGTGAAAAGTGACAACTCCACAGTTTATGAAGAAACTATACTGAATTACTAGAAGCAAAGGATTTTTAAAAGTCAACATTATTCAGACTATTGGAAGCATCCACAAATATAACCATGGCACTATGAATGATCAAGTTAAGAGTTCAGTTTGAAATAAGCCCTTAGTGAGAATCAACATTTTGGTTTTGTTGAAAAAGAAATTATTAAGAATTGTATAAATAGACAGAAACAGATATAAAGAGATAAAACACAGAATGCAGATGGCAGTTAAAAGACACAAATAGCATTTTGAATAAAATCTGGCAGTCATCAATGCCCCATATCTTAATCTATGAGTGTCATCAGAACTGCAAGAAACTTCCTCCCTTTAGAAAAAGATTTTGAAAACCTTTTACTATAATCATTTTTAAAGGCAAATTTTAAAAATTAAGCATCAGTTGAAAATGATTTTATGAGAAACAGGTGTATTTCAAATAAAGTGGGAGTAATAAATTAAAAGCAATTACAGGATTACAGTCACTAGATTGTTTCAATTGAAGAATTCATAAAAATTAATTCATTAGAAAAAGCACAATATATTGCACTTAAATATTAATGCTTTTACTAAGAGTTATATTAAAATGTCACAGATCAGGTTACTAAACACAACAAAAAAAGAGAGTCACTTTTTGAAACTGACTACCCTGGATCTTAATTTCCACTAAGCCAAAACCAACACTGTGGTGGACATGGTGGCAAACTGTAATCCTAGCTACCCCATTGGGAAGGCTGAGGCAAGAAGAAGGAGAGCTCCTGGGCTATATAATAAGACCCTGTCTCCAAAAAATTCTTTAATTAAACAAATAAATTAAAAGGTACTCTAGAAAAGTGAAGCTATTTCATTTTTGATGATATACAACTTTACTCTTTTTGGGGTTTTTCTGGTAGACTGGGGTTTGAACTCAGGGCTTCTTGCTTACAAAGCAGTACTCTCCCACTTCAGCCACACCTCTAGTCCATCTTGCTCTTGTTATTTTGGAGATGGGGGTCTTACAAACTAGTTGCCCACACTGGTCTCAAACTGATCCTCCTGATCACAGCCTCCTAAGTCCCTAGGATTACAGATATGAGTCACTAGTATTGGGCTATAACTTTATTCCTAAAAGGGAAACCAAATAACAATTAAGAACTTGGGCATGCATTCAGACAGACCTATTAGAATTCCAGTGTTTTATAACACTGAGTAAGTTACTTCAACTCTATTGTTCATTTTTAAAAACTGGGAATTCATGGAGTTTTTAAAGACTGAAATAAGAACTTAAAAGTAAATTAAATGCAAGAAAGGCACTTAGCAATATGAGATACAGTAAGCTTACAATAAATGCCACCATATCATTCAAAGCCACTCAATGGTTTCTAAAAATTAACAGGCTTCCCAAAAATTTGTGAAAGTTTTATCATTTTGTTTCATTACTAGTATAAACATTCACAATTTAACCTTGGGTAAAGATTTCTATCATAATAAGAATTTAGGTGTTTATGAAAGTCCTTAAGCTCGCTTTTTGCCTTAATGTCCTAACATATTTCAGACAATGTCTTTAAATGTCTGTGGTCTTTACAATAATTATGAACCATTTATCTGGAATGACTGGTTTAAGTAAGCAAAAAAGGACACAACTCATACTACCAGAAGGACCAACAGAATAAGAAAAACCTGTGGAAAGAAATTACTTTGTCCTTTTTTAAAAAAAAATTAACATCATTAAATGATTTATAATTTAACACAATAAATATATTGTTTTTCCCTTAGAACTTACTGTCTTCTGCTAACCTATTCTTAAGAAAGGAGATGACCCTTGTGATAAATATTCATAAGTATTTGCTAATTTCATGATTTGTATGGAGTATGAAAGGGGAAATGGTCATGAGTAGATGTGACAGATGAAATTAACAGGATTAAGGATTAATCCTGTCCCCTATAGGGGACATATAAGTATGAAAGTATAAGACTTTCATACTATTCATTGCTTCAGAATACCTGCCATGTTCAAGTATGAAACGCTTCAGGAAGTTTCAAATATTAAAAAAAATTTGGTATGTAACACATTTCTGTTTAAGAGTTTACAATACTGAATTCAGGAAAGTCATCTAATTACTTACAAACTGAATAGGATGAATAAATGTCACACCTGAATAAAAATGACAAATGATTTGGAAATCCACCTTTATGACTGCTTAAACAGTTTTAAATGCATTTGGAATCAGGTGGAGAATCAGAACCAGTATCTTGTGAACAAACTAAAAAAAAAAAAAAAAAAAAAAAAAAAGGACAAAATTGAAAAGACTGAGGGATGTAAAGATTTCTTGAGGAAGATAATCCTTCCTTTATATTATTAGCTTTGGAGATAATCTATTACTATTAGGTCAAGAAGGCAGGACATCTTCTGTAGCATGTAGAAAACAAGTTACAATCCTAAGCCCCAGTCAACTAAGTAGTATGCATAATGCAAATGGACTGCAGTTATCAACTTATGAAACAACTGATAATAAGCATAACTTTAACATGGAGCTGTTTTTCCAAAGAGAGAAAAAAAAGCATTTCAGTACCTTGTCTTCCCTCATCATTGGTAAACAAACCAGCATCAGTGCTGCTGAGACTGCTGGAATCACTGTAATAAGAAGGAAAAAAAAAAAAAGAAAGAAAGAAAAAGAAACGGATCAAAAGAGCAATTGATCTCTCAGCTGTAGAATTTTAAAGAGACATTGCAGCTCAGAGATGGAACTTGAGCCTGACAAAGATCTGAAAGAAAATAAGATGATTTTTATTTTAATCAAACTGCAAATGTCCTGGTTCTATTAACTACAGAGCATATTATTTTTGGCACATAAAACCACAGGAATCTAATGGGACCCTGACAGTAAGCCAGATGTGACTGAACGAGGTGCTGACACACTGATGCATTTTATTATCTGCTTTCATCATGTGCTCACAGCTCCTTTCTTACGCTGTGCAATTCAGCTGCAGCCTAAAACACCAATGCTCAATAAAATGGGAAAGTCTCAATCAAAAGCAAGGTAAGAATTTCTTCAGCAAATGAATTACAGGAGCCTGGAATGAAATTAGTTTTCAGAACCACATTTGCAAATATTCTAGGAAGGACATTACTTAAGAATTCAAAACAACTATTATTTTGCAAGGAAAAAAAAGTTTATGACAGTGACAGTTCATTAATCAAAGTTAAGGTCACTGTAAGCAATAAAATGAACATTACCAATATGAAGGGGAATGAAAAAATTACATGGGTTCTCATTACTTCCACAGAAATTTGAGACATGACCCAGATTCAAATTTAACACAGAAATTAAAACAAACAGCAAATATTCAACTAACATGAACAGTTATAATACAAGCAAAGCTTATATGATAGACAAGTTAGTTTAAAATACAAGAGAGTAAGAACATATGAGAGGCTTGGTCTCTAAAGAAAGTTGAGTGATATGCTTTAAAAATTCTCATGTAGTTTCTTTTTTTACTATAATTCTTAATTTTAACCAATCAGGAAATTACCCCAGGTGGTTTTTTTAATTAAAATACTTATAGCAAGTAGAACTAAGTTTAACTGACTTATTTGAAAAAAAAAAACAAAAACCTGAAACCTGTTTTAAAACATTTAAATTGAGACATTTAAGGTGAAAATTATCAATGAGCTCTACCTAAGTTGACAACTTTTTCTGGATATAGAGTATCAATTTTCATTTATTTACATTCAAAAAATAATTAATGAATGCTTAAGAATTTGTCATGAGGCATATTCTTTTTCTCCAACTTCCTTCAAATGAAGAGAACATATGAAGCTCCCTATACTACATATCTGGCAACAATCTTTTCTAAGAGCAACAAATCCATAGTGTGTTATTTGCAAACTTACGTTTTCTTCTATGCACAATATTGTTGAGTAGTAAAAACACTACAGAGGACCATATCTTGTAATCTCAGCTCTTCAAGAGGCAGAGATCAGTAGGACTGCAGTTAAAAGCAAGCCCAAACGAGAGGTTACTAAGACACCCACTCAACCAACAAACCAGGAGTGATGGTTCCCTTCCATAATCCAAGTTATGCAATGCAGGAAGCATATATAGGATGATCATTGTCCAAGACCAGCCCAGGCAAAAAAGGGAGACACTACTCAGAAAATCAACTAAAGCAAAAAGGGTTGGGGTTGTGGCTGAAGGAGCAGAACACCTGCCTAGCAAGACGAGGCTGAATTCAAACCCCAGTTCCACTGAGAAAGATAATAATAATAATAAACCAATAAACAAAAATACTTCAGGAATATTATCTTCCCGCTATTTAGCTATTGAAACTACTACTGATGTTTTTTCTGTTGCACCCATCAATGCAGCTCCTCAGGACACAATTCCTTTCTTGAAACCTTTGAGGCAAAAGTACATTTAAAATTCAAAAATATTCAAACTTTAGAAAGGTACACCCTAAAATGTATCAGAGGGGACCCTATGGTAGCATTCCATAATCAAAAGCCTATTATACTTCTCAATTACCCAAATGAAAATGCACAGTAAACACAGGCAGGTTGAGTTATGTACACTAATTAGTTACGTTTTTCACAGCTTTTCAGAGTCCAGGTTTGCAGACTGTCAATCAGTGTGCTACTTTTTAGTACTATAATCTTCTGAGTTCAGGTTTACCTCTTCTGACCTATTCTATATACAACCAGGTTCATCTTCTGAAAATGTTAACTAGTTGACTAACAGTAAAATGATACCCTGGAACAGAAAAAAGGACTAAATAAAAGCAAAAAAACTCTTAATAAAATGTGGACTTTACTTAAAAACATATCAATATTGGTGTATTAATTTTGACAGGGGCAGCACTGTAACATATATTAACGATAGTTAATAGGGGAAAATGCATGTGGGGCATATGGGAATGTGAAACACATCAATTCTCTGAACTACTTTGCAATTTATATAAAAGCTATTTCAAAAGAAAAAAAGTTTGTAAAATACACACACACACAGACTCACACACTCTGTAAGACAGTGTTCTATTAAAACCTCTATAATTATCACCTTAGGTTTGCAAGGCTTTCTATTTGTGAGTGACCATCTGAACTCTGCCCATCCTCGCTCATGGTCCTTTTGCTTATGTTCTAAGTGACATGTCTATCTCCTCTCTTTTCTCTCTGCCTGCCCACTCTCTTAAAAATATTAGGAAATCAAAATTCCCTCTCTAGAACCAGCTCACAGACCCTAATGACCCTTGTTCTACTTTAAGATATATTCTACTTTATGTATGTATGTATATAACACACTTCCTTCCTTACATTCTGCATTATGGATAGTTAGCCAGTGGATACTGTGTACTTGTTGCTATCTTCAGTATCAGAATAAGAAGTTAAAACAAAAGAAAGGCTTTTTCTGCAGCTGATGATCATTATAGCTCATCTCCAAGGGCATCTCTTCCCCCTTTCCTCGGTATGACTTTTATGCCTAGTACCGAAATGAGAATATATTCAATAAGTAAGTATGTTGGGTGTGTGTATGTACCTAAACCTATCCCTTGTCCCAATCCATTCATTTTCTATAACTGTAACCTAGGCATTAACTGAGAACATCACCCTCCCCAAAACAATCAACCTCAAATACTCTCAAATATTTCTTTTCCTCTCCTAGCACAGCCATAATTTACCTTCCACAGAAAGGACTGGAAGTAGATAAAAGATAAAAAATACTACCAAGATCATATTATTTTGAAAAAATGTAAATCTAATTGAGTTTCTTCTCTGCTAAAAATTCCCATTGCCTGTCTGATGAAACCAGAGCACACAGGCTTCAAGAAGTGTCTATTGCTGTACCCTCAGATCCTACTTTATATTCTAGTAACAATGAACTACATATATTTCCCAAACACACCACCTTCATTTCACAAGCCATGGCTTTGCACAAACTGCTCCCTCTATCTAAAAAAGCCATTTCCTCTCTCCTTTTCATTTCCTCCTCCTTTTCTATACAAGTCTTAGTTCTTGCTTCAAAACCTAGTTCCTATGGGAAGTCTTTCCTCCTGAGGATCCTTCTTCATAGCACATTCCATGGTGTACATTTGTCTGCTTATTCCAGCCTAGCAGGCACTGAGGACAGAGTCTGTATTGTCAATCCAGACACCACAGTGCATAGTACATAGCAGTTAATGAAATGTTTGTTAAATATGAGACACACACACACACCCCAAAAACAGAATAAAGTTGTTCTTATTTATAAATCAGCTCCAAGAAAATAACACAGCTTTTTACAATAGAAAAGCTTCAGAAGTAGTCTCAAAAACACTTACATTTGTTGGAAGATACCTTAACTATTTAGTAATCTTCCCACAGCAGGAATCTGCTTAAGTGACAACAATGAGTTATTATAAAGACTAAAATTACAAGAAATATATACCTTTTACTTCACTCAAGAGTAAGTATCCTCTTGGAAAACTTGTGCCTGGACTATTAATTACTGGATAGGGTGGTAATACCTAGTAGGTACTTGAGTTTTGTTTTTTTTTTCCACAACGAGGAGACATAAATGATAAGCATTTCATCTCATTTCTGTTCCAGGGTAGATCAATAAAAGGCAGAAAACACAAAAATGAGGGGAAAAAAAAAAAAGAAGATCTTAGACAGTCAATCCAAAAAAGTAGGTAAGCTAGCTGTGAATAATCCAGAATGTTATCTCTACTATGACACACTCCTCCAGCAACTGAGCAGGATACTTTTAAGTCAGTCTGAGCAGTCCTCAGTCACAATGGAGCAACACTAGTGTACAAATAATTCTTGCAATCCATGCCAAAGCACTCAGGAAATGTTTTGGGTTTTTTAGAACTTGTACTTCTTTAGAAAAATTATATAAACAGCAAACTATGCTTAATAAAAAAGTCACTTTATAAATTCTTACCAGGTCCTAATCATGTTTGAAATCATAGTGAAAAGCTAAGAACAAAAAAATCCATAGGCTACAATCCACTTGATTAAGATGATCCCAACATTATAAATTAATACTCTTTCCCAGACCTATTTTTGTTTGACTCATAGTCAGGCATTTGGTTTGAGGACACATGCAGATGGACATCTCATTTCTTGCAAGTATCATAAATTCTGTATAAAAGAATAATGATCGCTTACCTTTTGATTCTGTGAAAATAGTATTGAACAATTATCCTAGTGGTATATACCAATTTCTTAGAATGGACAGATTAGACTAACTGCCAAAAGATCATTTCTTCTTCCACTTTTAATCACAAAATCAGGTGTTCCTGGACCATAAATCAAGTTTTACAAGTGATTGCAATCCACAGGAAGTTATAGATACTCTAAAATAGTAGGCCAAACAAATGTCAAAAGAATATAAAATTTTGACTATCAGGAATCAGAATGAATCATGCACTGTAACACGCTCGAAAGGCTAACGTTCTATAATTAAGCAAATAAATAATTGTATCTCCCATTCTAAGAGTTACAAATGTGCTTATTCAAAAGCACATTCTTTCCCACTGAAAATCCATTGCCTTTTCTCTTTGTAGCTGAAAATTAAGTCATTAGAACACAGTCAAGACTTTGAGTAAATCAAACAAGCAATTTTGCTTTGTGTGAAAACATCATAAATTTTAAGGAAATGTAGCCATAGTTACACTGTAATCTCACTATTATTATTATTACAATTTATAATTATTTTAAAATAGAATTAATTAAAATATAAAACACATCCAACCAACACACTGCGACAAACATTTTGATATTTGGAAAATAAAGGTCACCTTTCACTCATGAGCTCGTCGGAGACCTTCTGCTCCTCGTAGTCCATCTTGTCCCTACTGGCCCGGCTGGTGTCCTCGCTGTCCAGGCCCACTCCCCCATCGTGGGTCTTCGGCCCCTGCCTGGTGGTCCTCAGCTTCCTCTTCTTCACCTTGCCCCTGGGGAGGTCCTGGAGGGGGCAGGCCCTGTCGTGGTCCATGTCGTGGTCCCGGCAGCCGTCAGGCGGCTGCGTCATGGCGCGCTTGCTGGACACGTCCTGCGGCAAGTCCACGGCCATGCGCTTCACCTTCCTGCGCCTGCGCAGCGTCCTGCCGGCCAGCGCATCGGCACCCAGCTCGGCCTCGTGCCACAGCGGCCGCTTCCCGCGCCCGAGCGCGGCGCTCACGGACGCCGGCCTGCGCTTGGCCACCAGCACCTGGTCGTCCGAGTCGCTGTGGTCCTTCTTGCCGCCGTGGCAGTCCCGGTAGTCCTTGCCCGGCTCGTCCTGGCTGGAGTCGAGCCCTCGCTCACGCAGCGCCCCGCGTCCCACGGCGGGTGCGCGTTGTGTGACCGCCGCTTCCGGCCCCTCCGCTTGCGGGCCTGGCGCTTGAGCGGGCAGGCCAGGCTCCGCGCGTGCTCCCCCAGCTCTGCGAAGCCGCCCCGGGCCTGCTCCGAGCTCTCCTCCAGCGCGGACACCAGGTCGTGGACCAGTTCTTCCATGGTCCTGCTGAAGTGCCTGGAGGTTGGGAGAGGAAAGGAACTAAGTACAGTACTTAGTGTTAACCTAGCCTCCGCAGCAGGTAGCACTCTAAGAGCGAGGAAAGTGGCCATCATGAAATGTTTGAAGCTATTTAATCTTTCCACTCAGTGTACTACAGTTTCAAATATTCTGATAGTTATTAAGCCTTTTGCAGAAGTTCTTTGATTAAACATGGGAATAGCTGGGCGTGGCACATGCCTGCAATCCTATCACTCTGGAGGCTGAGGGAGAAGCCTCCTGAGTTCAAGGCCAACCTGAGCAAAACAAAAAACCCAAAAAGATTAAGAAAATAAATAAAAAATAAACACAGGAATCATTTTGAGATAGAATAAGCATACTGTCAGCCGCAGAAGATCATAGTACTTTTATATTTTTCTATATAACCATGGAAAAGTTTTTTCTACTTACAACACTGTTCCCTAGCTCCTACTACCCCTGCCCTTTCTCTAGAGCCAGTTTTCTTAGAGCAGATACACAGAGAACTTTCTCTGCCTACCCATCCCTTGATTTCTAAATTATCAGAGGCATGAAATTCTCTACTGGCCATGCTCTCACCAATCACTGCCACAATGTCAGAGGTAGATAGAGGTACTTACAAGATTTTTAATGTATGTGAAAAGAAAGTTTAATCAAATACTAAGCTTATATTTTGGCCACACTAACCTCATAACCCAGTGAAGTAGATTAAACTATGCTCACCTCCAAACTGGAGACTCACCACATTCTGAAGCCATCTCTTAGGCCATTTTGGTCAGCAAGGATAAGCATCATTGTTCTTAGAGAACTGTAATAAGTTATATAGTCTTTCCAAACCCAATTCCCAAAGATTTTAAATTAGTTGGTGTAAGATAGCCCAAGTATAGATTTTATTTTTTAAACATAAAAATAATATATATATAGTTTGTGTATATACCTTTCTTATGAAGACGTGGACAATCACTTCTCAAACTGAGTTCCAGAAGCACCTGGGAATCAAAGTATTCTCAACAGTCTTCTAGAGGGCTACATAGTTTCTAAAGTCTATTGCAGAGGTAGGCATACTTTTCTACAGTCAGGTAATATTTTAGGCTTTGTAAGCCATTGGATTTCTAACAGTACTCAATATGTCAAATATACACTCAATTTGTCACAAATACAAAAATAGACACAAGTAGTACATAAATGAAATAATGCAAAAATAGACACAAGCAACACAAATGAGTATGCTTATGTTTTAATAAATGTTTACTTATAAAATCAAGCAGTGACTGGCCATAGTTTGTAGTCCTTGATGTATGTACAGTGCCAATAGGATATATATCATCTCTATCATCTACAACTTCATGCTTTAGTTGAAACAATTTGCAACTTTTTCTTTTCATTTAATGATAACCTAAAATCAATCACAATCCAACTTATTTTTCCATTTACAATAGGATGCACACACACAGCTTCTAAAACTTGAGTATTTAGTATTTCAGGTCTATTGCTAAGTGTTTTGCATGTATTATCTAATTACATTCTCACACAGAAACCCAAAGAGGTGGCAGATGAAATATGCAGAGAGCTATCTCTATCACAATGTGACATATCTAAGTATAAACAGAACACAGATTCTAGCAATCTGGTTCTACAAGGCCAATGCTTATCCAGCTACAGTTTAGAACGACTAGCCAATTCCAGTATCCAGCCTGTAATTTCGTTTGACTGATTTAGCACCAGGTGTTCATATATTTTGAATAGAAAGTGGGGGTGTGAGACCTAAATCAACACAAGGTACAGGGTGATGTAACTGGTGAAGGTGAACCGATCTCAGTGAACCAACACTGTATTGGCTAGTACAGTGTATATTATGAGGGCTTAAAAAACAGCATTGCTTTTCAGTTACTATGAGTTTGTAGAGTCCAGATCCATCACCTTTGGCAATCTGAATATATAAACAAAAAGTATATTTGGATACACATTTTTCAAAAGCACAGTGGTGATTCAAAGATACGTTTTAAATAAACTCTGGAAGTCCAGTGAGATTTTTTTTCCCTTTATAAGGGTTCAGTCTTGCAACTCTGATACCAGAATACAACATTAGATTAAGAGAAAAATGCATCACAGAGGAACCATTAAGCCAAAACAGGGCTGTAACTTTGACCACTTTGATGTACCAAATGGATCTTTGCTCCATTAGCTGTACGTTAACAATTGCCTTTTTGTTTTCACTTAATTTCTCCTTTAATACTAGTTCTTTGGAAGAAATGTAGTCTGAAAGACTTATTATTTCTGAATATAATGTTGTACCTCTAAAAAAATTCACTTAAAGACAGTTCCAACATGTATTAAAGTAAGAATCCTTTTTCTAAAAGACTGTATCACCTAGTTCTAGAGTAACTTAACTTTTGAAGATGGTGTTCTTATCAGTGAGTTACTGACTAGTTCAAAATATTAAAACATGAAGTTAACTCAAAACACAAATATAATATTCAACTAAAAGAGCAATTTTATTTTGAAGTTGTAATTTGGTGCTTTACTTCAGAAAAGTTGGCAATTTTTTTTGTTTTGTTTTGTTTTGGGTTTTTTGAGACAGGGTCTCAATATGTAGCCCATCTAGAACTCAGAATTCTCCTGTCTCGGCCTCCAGAGTGCTAAGTTTACAGGACTGTACCACGAAGTCTCACTTAATTGGTGGTATTAGCTTACAAAAAAGGTTAGGATATCCTATTCAATCTATTTAAATCTGATAATCTTCTATTCATTTCTGTTGAAAAAAGTATTGCTATGACTAACTGTTTAACAAAATATACCAAAGACATTACCAGGAATGAAAGCAAAATTTCTTTAGAATTGTGCCAGCCTTATTCAATTTTATATTATTTCTCTCAAGAGAAAATATATTTTTAAAATAGTTTAATTAGAATGAAATTTATTTCATGTCATTCACATAGAAATGAACTAAAAATTACTTTTAAAACATTCTTGCAAAACTCTACAAAAACTCAGAAAAATGTATTTAATATAATGCAATTCAGTGTTCAAAGTAATTTTCCCCTATTGTTTCATATAACTAGGCTCCTCTACAAATCAGTCCAAGCAAAATTCCTGTCAATGAGCCAATAATATTGTTCAATTAATGTCAGTCAAGCTGCTTCACTACCATCTCGCAGGTAAAACAGGCACCAATTGGCCACACAGAAATAAAATCCTGACAAGTCACACTGTGATAATAGCGCTTGTGCTTCCTTTGCCCTGGCAGTTGTTCTGAAGCATCAGAAGACCATGGTGTTGAAACATGTTATTCTAAACATGTAGCTTCTTCAAGACCTTTCCTATTGGAGAAGAAACCTAGACCTATACAACTTTTCATAAAAGCTGTACTTAGTCAACATTCAGTTTTAGTTGAATTAAAGTAAATTCAGTGAATATAACACTTAACAAATTTGAAATTGTTGTACTCAAAAAAATTTTTAAAGTTTTTTCATGTGAAAATTGAAATCTTTTAGGGAACAGTTAGCATTGGTTATAATGTCTAAAGCAACAGTCCATTAATAGTTTTCTTAAGATTTTCCAAAAGGACAAAATAGCCCAAAACAAATGTAGTCCCATTATCTCCAAAGATGACTTGTAAAGAGGAAAGGAGCAGTTCACCATCTTTTTTCAGGTGGTATTTGATGTGCTGATCCAATATATAAAATGCATGATCCAATACAAGATTGCATATGCAATTTTAAAGAATTTTTGGCTAAAGGTCAAGTCTGCATTCATGTCCTTTTCTAGGCAATAATAAATATCCAGGAAATGCGTAATTTGCTATCCTTGGGTTCCTCATCACCAGACTCAATCATTCCAGTAAAAGGTCTTCCTAAGTATGTTTAAGAGTCTGGAAGATAACTAATGAAGAAAACATGTCATTGAATTTGGCAGTTTCCTTCAAAGGTTTCTGGTTTAAGGAAGAATCAGGAAATATCAGGAAGCTCCTTTGGTCTTACCTTAGTGTCTTAAATCTCACCAAAACACTAAAAGTTGACTGATGGTCAACTTTTTCTTTTTCTTTTGACACAAAGTCTATGTAACCCAGGCTGGCCTTGAACTTGGGATCCTCCTGCGTTAGTCTCTGAATGCTGGGATTATAGGCATGCACTAACACACCCATTTCTTAGAGCTCTTAAATTGCAGTTAAAATGTATAGATGGTGGGCACAGCAAGAGAGAAAAATCCCAGAAAATAACCCCCCCCCAATAACTGATGGCTATTTCATGAGGCTTCTTGAAGCTTTGGTAACTGTTATTCCAAAAAGGCAAAATATAGCATGCAAGAATTAATTTAGGATCTTTTCTTTACCTAGATGATAATAAAAATATTACAACAGGATATATATGTGTATCTACTGAGTAACACCAACCAGTTCATTAACGTACACATTAAAACCCTCCAGATATAACTAAAAGGTAACTGATCATAGTTATTAAATATCTAATTAAGGAAAAATAAAGATCAAATACAGTTTATCACAGTAAAATTCAGATCACCATTTCTCTAAAACACAGATTGTTTCTTGTACAAAGTTAAGGGAGAACTAAATTTAAATGACCTGTTGCTAAGTACAACTTTAATTGACTTGTGAAAAATTAAGGGAAGAAATACCCATTTCTGTGTTATATTCTGTGTAAAAACAAAATTCAATGTATAGTAACATTGTACTAAAACAGTATACAGTCAAGAACTATGCTTATGAATGCATGTATAACTACTCACAAACTTTAGAAAGTATACTTCCATATCATGCTAGCTTTTATTTAAAATAGGAAAGGTTAAATGGTCCTAAAAGTATACAGCACATAGCCGGAGCACAGATTAAAATGAATGTATAATAGTATACGCTGTGACAATGGGTGACAAAACACACAAATGGTAATCCATAGAGATGTCATATCGAGAGCTACATTTTATGACTATTTAAACACAGTATGATCCATAGGGATTACCTTAAGTTTGATTAAGATTTCAGCTGCTTATTGGAATTTATAAACCTCCTTCCTTAATAGACCTATTATTTATCAAAGTAAGTCTTTATCTAAAGCTGGTGGGCTGGGCCGTGGCGTGTGGCTTGGTGCTACAGCACTTGCCTGGCATGCTAGAGGCTCCTGTTCAATCTGTAGCACCACAGAAAAAAAAAAGGGACTTCAAACTAGAAATTTAATAGAAAACTATGTCTTCTATTTTTCTTTTTATATATTTGGGGGGTGGTGTCACTTCAGGAAATACAGAATAACAATAAATGTCAACACACTAATGTGGAAAGCCCTTGTCCTATCATTGTAAAGTATTAATTTGAAGCAACCTTTTGTTGGGGTGGGGGACACTGTAAATGATTAATTACAATTGTACATCAAACATGAGGCAATAAATGTGAGATATGGACTAGAATACTCTAGAGGAAAAGGAGGGCTGGGAGGAAAATGTGGAGAGCATGAGCATTAGGAGCAACGCTGTGAACTTGGAAGCTCAATTCTGTTCTGTTCACTGGCTCTACAGCTTTAGGCAATTTATCTTCTGATCCAGATTATTTATCATAAAACCGGGTATAATTTCTATCCTGAGGGATGAGAGTCATATGTACTGTTGAGAGAAGTTATTTCATCTTTCAACAACCCACTGGCCAATGAAGTAGCACACATTCTGCTTTGAAGGTACAATTGTTACTGTGGATCCTAGGGTACAATACTAAAAGCAAAGGTCGTCAGTCATTCTGGGGTCAGGAAGCAAGATTGTCACAATTTTAGCAAGTTCAGGGATTACTTAAGAAATCCAAGATAAGCTAAAACAGGGATCCTAAATTTTAAAAAAAGATATAAATGTGACCTATTCCTCCTACAGCCTTTTTCTCCTTTAGTTATTTTTCAGATAGTGGCTCAAACTTTTGCACCAGGTTGACCTTGGAAAGCAATCCTTAATATGGCCCCCCAAATAGCTGGGATTACAGACATGCTCCATCAAGAAAGGTTTATTTGTTGAGATGAGATCTTACTAACTTTTTTCCCAGGCTGGCCTCCAACCTGATCCTTTAATCTCTGCCTGGAGTACCTGGGATTACAGACAGGAGACAACTAAGCCAGCCTCACTCTTTTGATTTGTTGTTGTTACTTCATTTAATTATTTCAAAACTTATTTCCTCTAATTGCTTTTAAGATGTGAACTACTGATTTAAAAACTACCTACTGAAATAAAGTCAGAGTCTAAATCAAACAAGTCAAAACTTAGAGTCCTAAAAGTAATTCATGCTAATACTTGTGAGCAAGCATATATTCTCTGTACACCTTGGCAAGCTTTTGGAAGAGAAGGAAATGTCTTGTTTATTTCTTATACATGGTAACTGATTAAACATTTACTGAATATATAATATATCCTCAAGTCCTAGGTTAGGAATGAGCAGAAAATGAATATTATAAGTACCTACCATACTGCTTGTCATATAACAAACGTTTAAAAAAAAAACAAAACTGTTGTAAACAAAATAACAAAATAAAAATATAACCTGACTAAAAATTTTAGACTATCTGGATTTCAAATCTTCTGCCTAATTAACAAACTGTGAAGTTTTAGTTTAAGTAAATGTGAAGGTAAGGGCAGTTTATCAAAGATGGTTTAGATAGTTTAAAGGTTTCTAGCTTGGCATAAATAAGAATGCTTAGAAGCAATAACAAAATTGTTTGGTCTAAATCATACTTTTGCTTTGACCCTTAATTGAAAGATAATCTTGAATCAAATAAACCTGACAGGAGGAACTGAATTCAAAATAAACAAAAATCAATTATTAAAAAATGCATTTTTTTACCAGAATTCTTTTCAGAACTAAATAAAATCAAAATACCAAACAGGAATGAAACTGCAGAAACAAAGGTCCAGAGTTCATACTGTTATTTTAATGGCTTTTTCAAAAGCAAAGCCACATAACAAAAGTTAAACAGAATACCATAGTTTAATAAAGAAATCGTCTACGTTTATGCATTTTTGTGCCTAAAAACTGAAAAGGCAACAGCTACTTTGGAGACAGGTTACAAAAAGGTCAAGAGCTAAATACCTTATTAAGTCTGGGTTGGTTAACAATTCTGGGCATATACTTTGTGGTTTATACATCCCTTGAGATACTTTATGTTTTTCAGACACATGCAGTACTAGGATAGTTAGGAATTTTCTTTTGGTATACGGGAATCAAACTTCAAATAAGACACCTAGGCAACTTATTTAAAACTCTCTTTGCTTCCGTGTCACCTTATCTAAAATGCAAAGAATGATGCACCTACCTCAAAAGATTTATGTGAAATGATGTATTTCAGTACTGGGATAAACACAAACATTCGTGATATAGTAAATATTTGTTCAGTGAATGAAACAGAGAATTCCATTAAGAAATTTTGAGGCTGGGTGTGGTGGTACATATCACCACCACCAAAGGGGATGGGGGCATGGCTCAAGTTGTAGAGCACCTGCCTGGCAAGCAGGAGGCTCTGAGTTCAAATCCCTCTAATGCAAGAAAAAAGAATCTAAAAGAAGGAATTTTTAATGACTCAATAGTTATGTAGATAAACTAGAAAATAAAGGTTGCAATGTTCTGAAACACATTCTGCCTATTCAGGAATATTTTAAGAATTTCTTTAAAGAAAAAAAATGTTAGACCCTATGTTATGTTCTGGTGCCATTAGATTGGATGTATGTCAAGTAAAAATAATACAGGCTCTTCAGAAGAGAACTGAAGCTGTCTCTATTTTAAAAAAGGAAATTATGACAGGAGGTGGAAGTTCAGCAGAGTTAAGAGGGTCATTTCTTTTTTTGGTGGGACTGAAGTATTGAACTCAGGGCTTTGCACTTGCAAAGCTGGGGCTCTATGAATTGAGCGATGCCTCCATTTTGCTCTGGTTATTGTGGAGATGGAGTCCCATGAAGTATTTGCTTGGGTTGGCCTTGAACGGCAATCCTCCTGATCTCAGCCTCCCAAGTAGTTAGGATTACAGGCATAAGCCACTGGCACCCAGCAAGAAGGTCATTTAAAAAAAATTAAACAGTAACTTACACTACAAATCAGTGTCAACATAGTAAGAGCAAACCAACCTACATAGCACATTTCATCTCCCTCCCTTTCCAAGACATTGAATGGTGATCATTAAGAAAGGTACACCCCAGAGGAAATTACAGGATGGTGGACGTGTCCTCTATCTTGTTTTGTGTGGTGGTTACACAAGTATATACAACTAGCAAAATATAAAATTAAGTACTGAAGAACTGTGCCTTTTATTCTAAGCTAATTACACCATTTTAAATGGTTCATTAAAAGTGCTCTATATGTTTCTCACTGAAAAAAAATGTAAGAATTTAAAAGTAGCTTGGCCAAATCTATATTCATTATAAAATGAACTATGAAGACATGATCCAACACAAATATTCTGGGTAAAATATTTCTTTAAATTTTCAGTTGTAGGAGATGCAAAAGAAGTTTACTCTAAGATCACAGACCATTATAATTCCTTGTGTTCTTTCTGGACAATCTGCAAATGGATTGCACTTTTTCCATTACCTGATAGTCAAAACTATATTTGAGGACTGTCAGTGGTAAATTTTCTTACTTGTTTCTCTCCTAATCATGTATATATTTTCAGGGAAAAGGCTTAAGAGAAACACCAGCCATAAGAATTTTCAAAATAGAAAATTCAAAGACCAGCTTCTATTTCTAGGACTAAAATGGGCAGGGCAACTTTGGAAAAGTCACATCTTCTGTGCCTGGGATACTCTGGAATCACAGGGCTATTTTAAGAATAAAGTGTAATTTGTGAAAGCACCTTGAAAACTTACAGTAACATATTATTCCAACGTGGCATTTGGTGGTACAATATTACAGACCTGGTCAACCCCCAAATTTAAGACATTTCTCTGTTCTCAGAAAATACACGTCCACGTGTCACTTGAACTTGAACGTGGCAGTAGCGGGAAACAGGTTAACTTACTCCCTTCACAAAAAAACGGGATTTGATGGTATTTGGGGATTAATGTCTTTTCCAATGCTAAACCTCCAGGATTCTAGATTTATGGGATTTGATCTTCCAAGAAACTGAGTATAATCTGGTACTTTCAGCAGGAAAACAGAAAATAAAGATTAAGACCAAGGAGTCCTGTTTCCGGATTTATCAGCAGTCAAGGGGAAGATCAACTGCCCTGTAGTACAGAAAGCCCGACTTCTCCTGCACCCTAAGAGTTAGACACGCCATCAGCAAGCACTAGCCGCATCCCTTCTTCAGTCCTTAGCACACGCCAGGCTGCGGCACCCCAGGCACAGGTGGCAGCTCGACCCCCGCGTCTTGGATCACCCCGGCACAGCGCCCTCCCCCTTCCACGCCGGGTCCAGCGGCCACGGCCCTCACACCCTTTCCGGATGGCCCAACCCAGGGCCGCCAACCTCACCAGCTGTTCCCGGCGGCTGGAGCTCCGATCGGTTGGTGCCCGGCGGCCCCGAACATTAACGACACCCAGGAGCCTGGCCTCGAGGCTCAGGCCCGAGAACAGACTCCAACTATTACAGCCCCGGCCACTTCCACAGAGCACTTCAGCATTTTGAGAAGAGCTTCCGGAAGTTGACGCGAGACGGAAACCGGAAGTTAGGAGCAACCATTACGTCTCCTGCCCCTCTGTTTTCCTGCAGAGAGACGCCTCTTCTTACTTCGAGAGGAGGTAGAGACAAGTAGATTAAACATTGTTGCGATACAAAAAATTCCTAATTCTCTTTTCAGTCATCTTAAAACGGAAATGGGGTGGAGAAATAAAGGAAAAATCGAAACCCCCGGGAAAGGCCTATGGTTTAGGCCTGTTGTCATGGAGACCTATGGTAACAGAGGGGCAAGGCTGGCCAAGAAGCCATGGCCACGTTAGCCAAGCTGCAGGCTCGGTCGTCCTTTTTAGCAAATCAGTACTACTTTAGGAACAGGTAAGTTATGAGGAAAGGGATCGCCCAAAGTCCTGTAGCTCGGCAGGAGTTTACTGTTAACAAATTCTCTTATTAAGTAAACAGCTTTCAATTCGCCCCTAAGCGGCTGCAAACACAAGCAGAAATTTTAACTACAATGTTTTTAACATTCTGTTTTAAGGGGAATTATAGATAGAGGGGAGACCAGAAATTCTCAGGTTCAGATATTCAAAAGAAGGCCAGCATAAAGAACATTGTAAAGTGAAGTATTTTGGCTTTTCTCTCTGACATCATTCCTGCGCAATTTGATGAAACTTATGTTCTCCCTATGGGAGATGTAATGGTGTCACCACGTTGTCCAGCCCAGTAGCTTAGAGTGTTCCCTGTGTACCTAGGAATTTGAACCTCCATGATTTCACAAACAGCATGGAACTCACGTGTAAGTTCTATGATTCACTTGTCTTAACGTGAAAGTATCTAAACCACTGTGACAAAATAATTAGTACCAATATATTAACTCATGAAAGAGGGTCAAAGATGACGCTGACATCATCATTCTCCATTTCCCTACACCCAAAGTGCATCCCCAGGAAAAGATTCATTTAACAGTGGCTTTCTGGAAGCATTGCCCCAGGACTTTTTCCAACTTAAGATAAACTGAAAAAGCAGTAAATTATACCGTGGTTAGAATACAGTGACATGGCAGACCAGTGGAAAGTACCTCAAGACAAGATCTTGCTGAGCAGTTCTTATGCTAAGATTTATCCTACCCACTTACTGCACTTCACCTCTTACAACACTGGTCAGAATTCAATATTACAGTTCTGTGAGATAATATGTATGTTTACACTTGCTAGAAGTACAGAGTGTCTCTTTGTTGCATACCATTATTTCAGTCTCCAGTGTCTATCATAGTTCCTGACACATAAAAGCTGCATGATAATTATCTGTTGAATAATTATATTAATCTTTCAGTCATTTATTGTTTTGTTTGAGTAAACATACTAAAATAGGTCACTAGAAATCTATTTAGCAGTCAATGATTGTTTATTTCACACTCAGAAAATGTGACAAGGCTTGTATTTATGACATAAATATGTAAATGAAATAAGTTCCATCTCTCCTGATGTTCACAAACTATTATGGAATATAAGCATTTTAAAAATAATTGTGATATAGTAAGATGGACAGGAAAAGAAACAGCTAACATTTCTTGAGCACTGACTATATAAATGAGGCATTGCACTAGGAACTTTTTCATTTATTTTGTTTGGTTTTTACAATGTTAAAAGTTAATGTATTAATCTTTACTTGTAGAGCTCTACAACAGTGTTTTAGAAAAGCCTGATAAAGTGCCACACAATAGCAAATGACATAATTTGTTTTCATAGATATCATTTTCAGCCTTTGTTGTCCTCTCCTGGTTTTTGATGATGGAGATTAATTGGAGAAATGACTAGTGTTATGCAAGCACCATGATGAAAACAGCTGGCATTTCTAATATTTCATTTATAGTTACTATTAATAATGTTTTCAATGTGAAGAAAAGTCTAAATCATGAAGACAATTAAATTCCAAATTTTATTTAGTTATTTTTGTTATTGTACTGGAGTTTTGAATACAGGGACTTCTGCTTTCTAGGTAAGTGCTCTACCACTTGAACCATGCCCCAAGCCCTTTTGTTTTAGGTATTTTTTGAATAGGATCTCACCTTTGTACCCGGGCAGGATCATGATCCTCTTATTTATGCATCCTGCATAGCTGTGATGACCAGGGCACACCACCACATCCAGTTTTTATTGGTTGAAATGGGTCCTCTGGAACTTTTTGCAGGGCTAGCCTCAAACCACAGTTCTCCTGATCTCTGCCTCTGGAGCAGCTAGGATGAACAGACTTGAACTATGGTTTTTTTGTTTGTTCGTTTGTTTTTCTTTTTCTTTTTTTTAAAAGCAGGTTATTGATAGCTTTAGGGTAAAAAAGTCACTGACATTTGAACAGGTAAACTAGAAATTTCCTTAAATTATTGTCATTCCCTATCTGTTAATATCTGGATCAGTTCTTCTGAAATATTAATATGCATTGGAGTCACCTAGGAAAATTGTTGAAGCTGCAGATTCTGATTCTGTGAGTCTAGGGGTCAAAGAATCTGCATTTCTGTCAATTTGTGTGAGGCTCCACTTTGCATAAAAAAGGAGGTTGTTGAAAAGGAAGGAACTGTGTATGGGCCTTACATTTAATCCTTAAGCATCCTTATGAATTACATTATTTATTCTCTAATCACATGAGGCAAGGAAAATGAGATTCAGTTTGGTTGGATAATTTGTGCAAGGTCACATAACTGAAGTATCAAAGCCAAGTAATCTACCTCTGAAACTATGCTGTCCATTATCACTGGGTAAGACTTTCTTCCCACTGAATGAGTCTGATTGATTAAGATCTGCAAGCAGCAAGGTCTAGATTCAAATGGTTTGCTTGGGCTGTTCTTGAATCCATTAGCGTTAAAGAAAACAATTTTATTTCTCCTAGTTTCTTTTAATACCTTCCTTCTATGTTGGTAATAAGGAAGTAGGAGAAATGTTTCTATACTGGAGCTGGAATGAGTCTGAAGTTGAAAGATGACTGTGTTGAGAAAATATATTACTAAGTAGTGAAATTATTCCTTTTCACATGTTAAGTTTTTCATCTTCAAATTCTACTTTATTCTGCTTTATCTGATAGCAAATATTCGTATCATTCTGCATCTGTCTCATTACAAGAGACAAATTTGGGGGTTTTTAAAAATCAAAACAAAGGAAGTTTATGATGGGTTGCTAGTTTCTTTACATTCATTATTGTGATTGGTATATAGGTATTTCACATATCACCCTATTTTGAGTTACTTTTAAATTCCTCCTCCTCTTTCGTCATAACTTCTTATGTGTAAGCCCTGTTTATATTTTAAAAGAACTTATTTATAAATAACATTTCTCACAAGAACATAATATATCCTAATAAGATTCTCAGTACTGTAATTGTGAATTAAGTATTCACTGATTGATTCAATACTTTCTAAGCACTTAGTATGTACCAAGCACTGTATATTGAGGATGCAACAGGACAACAAAAACTCCATGAGGGAAACAGAACAGATGCTTATGTATGACATTTCAGCTTGGGATAAGTGTAACAGAAGAAACAAAACACAGTAATGTGAACACAGTGAACCAAGATGCTGTTTTTTGTAGAGTTGTCTGAAAAGACTCTTCTGATCAGGTGACATTTGTGCACAATCCTGAAAAAGAGTGAATGCTTGGACATACTGGATAGGTATGTCAGGAAAGAGTTGTCAGGAGCTGGAACAGCAAGTGCTAAAGCTCTGTTGTCAGTACTCTGCAAGATTGTGTGGGAGGATGGTATCCTAGAACAGTAAATGAGGCGTGGAAGAGTAAAATGTGAGCTTGACCATTTGGGACTCTTACAACATCCTAAGGATAGAGGAGTTTACTCTGATCCAGTTAGGAAGCCATGGGTTTTCAGCAGAGGACTGACATAATGTGACTTCTGCCTATAAAAATAATGAAGTAACCTCTGACTTATTTTTAAATTAAACATTTTGCTTCTGTTTTTCCTTTTTCTACTTTCCTCCACCACATCTACCTTTTATTAGTTTAACTCTTTGTGATTTGGTTTCTGCTTCTTAAGAAAATTTAAATCAAATCTATTTCTATAAATGAAAAATAGAGAACATTAGAAATAGTTTAAAACCATGTATAGTTTTCTAAAGATAACTAAGCAGAAATATGCCTGATAAATGTAAAAAAATTTAACTGACTTAGCTGGAGGGAAAAACATATGTGGGGGAATGTGGAGAATCTGTTTGCTAAGAAGAGGGCTGCATATTCTATAGTAACAACTAGAGAGATCAGGTGTCCAGTTGTCAAATTTCCAGATCTGTCACCACCCAAAAGGGGAAATGGTGAATTCATAGGAATAGAAATAAGGGAATAGGCAGAAAAATAAATATGCTGACTATCTATTATGTGCAGAGCACTCAAATACTTTCAGAAACATTTTATTTGACATAATAATCTTATGAGGTGATTTTATTTCTCATAATTATTATCATTTTAGCTAAGGAAAGTGAGAGTTAGCCAATCTAAATCATTTGTCAAAGATCTAAAGATCAAAGATCTAGTGAAGTTTTATTTATTTCAGTCCAAATTTATACTTGGTATAAGTGGTGTTTAAACCACTAAGTCCCTAGATGGAAGTAAGCACATCAAATGCATAAAGATCAGGTTGAGAAAAAGAAAATACCTGGTACAGTGCTATTTCATATAAAGACTGATGATTTGTCCATATTTTATGGCCCTAAATCAACCTACAGTATAATTTCTTCAAACTCTCTGATTCTGGAGTCTCTTATTCCCATGAATGTCATAAATTTACTTCTGATTCCACTGCGGCCAACTGACTACAGCTCCTAAGAGTGTTCCTATTCTAATAATTTGGTTCGGTGTCCTTGAAATTGGACAATGACTTTGATCTCATTAACCTTAACAAGTAGCAGCTTAGTTGAATAGCTATACGTCCCTTCCTTTGATTCTAATTAATTACTAAATTTTCTGTTACAACTTTACTCAATTTTGATTAGTGAAATTAAGCAGACCTTTTTCCAAGTGTGCAAGGATGATGAATGTCAAAGTGTAGAGGCAGTTCAAATCCTGTGTTACTTTAGGTTTAAATATAAACTTTTGCTCTTACCTTACTGAACTCTTTATCAGTTTTACCATCTGTAAAAGAGAAAATAATGCCTATTTGTATGTTTACTAAGAAGGTTAAATGATCATCTGGTACCTTAATAAGTACCCATTAAATTCATTATTGTGGTAGGAAGTCATTATAAAAAGGTAAAGCATCATATTCATATGATCTGCACAGTGATGGCACTTGATTTATTCTTGAGGATTCTTTATTGAAAGCAGAAATTTTATTTGTGTATTAATCAAGAATTTTATTGATATAGATCAATATTTTGATAT